TTTTTTTTTTTTTTTTTTTTTTTTTTTTTCTCTCTCGGGCTGCAGCGGGAAGAAGAGCATAATCGGGTCTGAGGAGGAAGAAAGGAAAGAAAGAAAAAGAAAATGAAGGAAGCTGATCCTTATCCTAAAATCTTCCCCTCTTTAAGTCCCTCAAGTTTGGACATTTTGATCATTAAGCCCCAAAACACTAGTTTCTCACACAAAGGTCCTTAACTTAATGCTAAAATATCACAAAATTTTGGGGTATTACACCTCCTTACTTTCCCTTCTCATTTTTCTTTCTTCTTCTTATTCTCTCTCTCTTCTCCCTTCTTCTTCCTGTCTCAAACCCAAATCTGGTTAACCCATCCCGTTCTCCAACCCCGACACTTGAGATCAGAGCGCAGAAAACACATTTTGCGAGCATATTATTATCTCCTAACAAATGCTCTTCCACCAAAATTACAAGATCATCTAGAGAACATGAAAGTAAAGAGAAACAGGAAACCATTCCTTTGACCATTTGTTAGATCTAAGACAGCAATTATTTACTAATCTCATCATGGATTAACAGAGCAAAATTAATAATAATAAAAAAAACCAACCAGAGAAGGAATGAAGAAATGAAGCAAAAGATAAAGTAATTGTATTCATGTACAAAAAATCCCGATCTCGATCCTCCATAGTTATAGAAGTATCAAAAACAAAAGAAATCAAACAATCAAGACAAGGCATGGAAGACCTCTACAGTCTGGGCGACTGATGAGGCGAAGGCTAGTGTAGGGTATTGGAAGCTCTGCCACACCGGAAACAGCTATCGTCTTCTCCCTTTCCTTTTTCTCAATCCTTCGAACCCGCCCCTTTTTCTCCGTTCTTTTTCCTTTCCAAATCTGGGTTTTCTGAAACCCACCCCTTCTCCGTCGCTCGCTTATACACCAACCCGGAAACAACTATCATCTTTTCCCTTTCCTCTTTCTCAATCCTTTGAACCCACCCCTTCTTCTCCCTTCTTCTTCCTTTCTAAATCTGGGTTTTCTGAAACCCACCCCCTTCTCCGTCGCTCGCTTATACACCAACCCTGCACACGCCCCATCTATGCCAAACCCTCAAACTCTCACACACAGATATGCTCGACCCTTCGCACACACGTGAAACCCTTGCCTACACGCGCCTTCTCTCTCGTCGACCTTACCCAACCCAACTTCGCCTGAAAGCCTTTAACCTCGCCTTCTCCTCCTCAGTTCTTTCGCCCTTTGGAGCTTTCTACGCTCGCCATATCAGATGACGCCAGAGAGATACTCCGGTCACCAAGAAGATGGATCTGTTCGTTTGAGGGGGTCTGTTGAGGACAAACAGGTAGAACTTACACGTCATTTAAAAAATGCCATGTGGGTTCCACTAAAAAAACTGAGGTGGTCACTGATGTGTTAAAAAAATGCCATGTGACAAGATTTTATTTCCTGGATTTACACACCATTAAGATTCAAAAAAGTCGATGATTTTGTGGTATTTTAACGTGTCACCTATGCACTTAACTGACAGAAAGATCATTTTGGTATTAAAAATGAAAATTTAATGATAATTTTGATACTTTTTAAAGCTGAAGGATAATTTTGGTACCAAAGTAAAAAGTTGAGTGACCAAAATGGTACTTTAACCTTTTGATTGTCTAGTATATATATATGCTTTATTCATACGTGTTTGTGAATCAACAATCTTTTCCAATTAAGAACAATATATCCATAATTTGAAATTTTATGATCTATTACTTTTGTTTTAAAATAATTGTAGTTTTTTATTTTAAATTTGTTCTAAATTGATTATTCTTTTTCTTATTTTTAAAGATAGGTAAATATTTTTTCCTTACTTTAATCTTATCATTATTTATTTACTTTAATTATTTATTCTATCACAAAAATTTTCATTTTTATCTTTTAACTTTTTTTAAGGGTAATATAACTAAGGGCCTGTTTGGTGGGTCTTCTTAGAGTTTTTACTTTTTTTTAGTACTGTTTATGGGCCATAAGTTTAAATTTTTGTTAAAGGAAAAATTTTAAAGTTATTTTTAGAAATAATAAAAAGTGAGTAAGAAGTGAGTAAAAAGGAGGTAAAAAAGGAAATTTATAAAAAATAAAAGTTTGAAACTTTTCAAAATTCACTATTTAAAGTCTTTTTAAGGTTAAAAAAAAGTTAAAAAATGTGAGTTTTTAAAAGGAAAATTTAAACTTATGAAACATGAATAGTATCAAAAAGTTGAAACACTTATAAATTTCACCAAACATGCTCAAAATATACAAATTGATCTCCAATTCTTAATTAAAAAAAAGTAAAAAAAATAATAATTATTTTTAAAAAGAGAGAATATGTTATAATCATGTATGTATCTACACGACTTTTCTTTTTGAGAAAATTAAATATGGTCCTCAACTTAGACTCGAGTTTTGTTAATTAATTTGGTATAACAGTGGTGTTGTTGTAGCCTGGTTTGGTCTACTGCATACTAATCTCCAACTAGAGTAATTCAATTAACTATGGTAATATGCAAGTTTGTTTGTTGGTTTAATTCTGTGAAAGCTAATTACAGTTAATTCCTAGGTTAACACTGAAAAATTAGAAATAGAGTAAAACGAAGGGAGGTTATGACCAAGAACTCTTGGAAAGTCATTACTGGTAATACTTTCTTCATAATTGTTTGATGTTGTCTTGTAGGTCTGGTTGTTGATGTCTAGTATGATTGTAGATTGATTTTGTGATAGTTAAACACTAACATTTTTGCTTATAAAAAATGTGGGTTGTCTCTCTTATTTTCCTGCATGTCACAAACTGTTCAAACAACAAGAAATAATATCATATAGAACAATATGCTTTTAGGGGTGTTTCAAATATATAGTTAAGAGCTCAAAACTTTAAATTAAAGATTTCAAATTTGAACCTTGAAATGGGTAAAGAGGGATTAATGGTCTCTTGTTGTATAATCCATCATTTGATATACTAAAAAAGAGAAGTCATACAGAAAAATGTACCCAAAAATATAGTACATACAACAAATAAATAGGTAAAAATCCACTCTTGATAGGAAAAGAATGGAACCAAAAATATATAGACTGTATAAAAGATTGGAGCATGAAGTAGCTTTGGATGAACACGCTAACTGATGGAAATGAGATGAGTTGTATGGTTTTACCTGGACTGCCACACTGATCTTGCTCTTACAATCTCTGCTTTGTCATCTTGCATGCGAAGTAGATGAGTGTATATAGAAATTTATTTTTTTATTATTGTTTATTCCTTATTCTACCCTTCTGTTATTCTTTTTCAATCAGTTGTTGTATATTTATCTTGCCATCATTTTATATCTTTTTTGAACTAATTTTTCTTTCTTTCTCTCTTGAAACATTTTCAAGTCAAAACAAAAAAAGCATTACTTATTAGTATTATTTTCTTAGTATTTAATTTTTCACTTACCTTTAATCCGTCTTTCATTCATTTATGTGAAGTCTCTAGCTCTCAGCTTCCCTGTCAAATTTTATGTCAACTATTTATAATTCTAACTCTACCCTACACATTATTTTTTGTTTATTATACTCTCATATCTATCATTCTTTCTTAAACATTTCATGTATGTCAATCTATTATTTTACATCTTATTTTGACCCTTTTTCCCACTTCAATATGTTTTTAGTAGAAAAGTTTGATATCACAACCTAAAAGATGCAACTTCTTAATATCATTCTCCTAGTACTTTTTCTCTTACCTTTACTCCACTTCTATCATTACTATTCTTGGAATTCTACCTTTTAGCTTCCCCTCTTATATTCTATTCTATCATTATATTCTCTCAACATTCATGTTTCTTTCCCGCTCTATATTAACAATTTATATGTTATTATTCTCACATCTCCTAATCTTTCTTCTTGTATTATTCTTTTTTAGTCACTCATTGCATCTTCCTTTATCATTATATATGTCTTTTCTACCTTATATTAGAAATGTTCTAGGCCAAAACATGTGTGGTGCAATTTCTGAACATTATTCTTTAGTTCTTTTTCACTTATCTTTACTCCATTTCTCCCATTATTAAATTTTTTTACAACTCCATCTCTTAGCCTCTTACTCAATATTTTATCATTATATTTATCTTTCTATTCTACATTTGCCTTCCCTTTCCCTTTATAGATTAGAAATTTTATTTTTTT